GCAGAGGTGGGTTTTCCATCCCACTTCCTCATGTCCTCTCTGAGGTAATTCAGGTAAAACCACAGGTTTTCTCATATACACACAGGTGTGTATTCTCTCTTGAGGTGGGAGGTGTTTGCTGCCAATAGCAGAGACTGTGTTCCCATACAAGTGAGGCATGGGACGTTGCCTCTCTAACTTGCTTGAGACACCTGCAGAGTAGTGAGATCACCTGGTGAAATCAGGAGGGGAATTAAAAAAAAAAAGAGCATTTTAGCACACCCTGAAAAAATTAACATATTCTAGATAATATAATCTGATACATGAATTATTTCTCTTACATGTTATATAAGATTATTTAGTAACAAGTAATATGCTTATTATTTAGAGATCCCGTGGTCATGTGGTCAGAGATATTTTCTTTATCAGATTATGAATCTGATTGTGCAACTGAATAGATGGTTACAATCACTCATCTGTATCTAGGAACTTTCTTCACAAAGCAGAGTTGCCAATGTGTACATGAAGGAAATATTTGCATAACCACTTTAAAAAATATTCCTGCCATGATATATGAAATCATGTTGCAGTGTACTGAAAGTACATCCTCTAAGTTATTGTTTCAACAGGTTTTTGTCTCTTAGAGGCAGAGATAGCTTCAGGAGGAGCAAGTTTGACTTGAACAGAATTTCTCTGGAGGGATGTTACATTGAAAAATACCAGACACACCATGCTGATCTGGAAAGAGTGTGTTTATACCAGCACAGCAATTCTCAAAGGAATTACAACATTGAGATTTATGATATCAATATAAATTAGCATCTTTCCTAAAAAATGGATAATGTCAGAAAAACTTGATTTTTCATTTCAGTGGATAAAGCTGTATGCATGAAGAATGCACAAATTCAATTGGAGAACTTGCTGTTCTAACAGGAGCACATTCTGGGCTGGATTTCTTTTTCAGTAATTTTTATGTGCTGCTGATACTCTTGCAATGTGGATGCACCAGCCATCTTGTCATTTTCAGATGTAGCCCACGGCCTCCTTAGTCTCTCTGCAAAGTCCTGGTAGCAGTAGTGTTTTAAAATCCTTGCAATTGTTTCCCAGTCAAATGTTTCAAGCAATACTTAATCATTTCATGAGTTACTGGATAAAATACTTTTCTGTATTTCCATTTTCTTTTTTGACAAAAGATTAGAAGCCACATTTTTCCTGCTGAAACAATTTTCAGGTCACACAGATTATTCTGAGAACACATTGTATTCTTAGTTTACAAGTAAGCTAATTTTCTAATTTAAACTACTGTACCTTTTTTTCCCCCCTAGAAATAATCATTTTTACTTTCCTTTAAATTATCTTTTTCTGATGTCTGAGAAAGTAGTCTGTGTCATTCTAGTATGGTAGAATGAAACTGGTGGGGAGAGTCTGTATTTTGTTTTCTGTTCAATGGGAATGTGTAGAAAGGTACAAAACTGCAATTTATGTACTGGTGAAGTTAGCTATATCTTGTAGGAGAAAATGACTTCTCTGTGTAGTTGCTGGTGTCCATGTAGATCTGAATATACAAATGTCGAGGTTGTATTTGTAAACTGTATGTAAAATTCAGTAATTGAGATTCTAGAAATGAGAGGCTGGAAAATTACCTGACTGCACTAGTTGTCAATTTCCTCTACTTTTCAGGAGCTCTTCTGAAGCTCTTCTTACAGTAAAGATTTTTATTCCTGCATTTTCCATTTTTTCTTTTTGCCTTCCAGTATCTGAGGACTGTTGGAAAGCCAACAAAATGGTATTGATTCAATGTTCACCTTAGATAAAACTAGCTTCTTAGTTTATCAGTACTTGTTGTTTTTGCATAAGAGTAGCATCTGTGTTGAAGTTACAGGCAACCTATGTAAAGGAAAAGTTCATGATTATAGTTTTTCACTGAGTTATGAAATACCATTAGTAGCCATCACAGTCAGAACAATTTAAAAACAGTTTGTTTCAATGTGAAATGCAAGAGGGTTTGCTGCAAAAATATTCTCTTGTTTTCTAGGCTATGTATGATTCTGCATGTTCATTGTACCCTTGGGATCTGGTCTGACTTGAGTAAGAGCTGGTGTAAATCATTGCCTAAGTCCAGGATATTTGGTCTGTATTCACCCAGTTGGTAGAAAGTGTTACCTCCTCCCCCATAATTTCAAAATTCAGTTATATTTAATCCTGCTGCTGCAAGAGTGAGGGATCCTGACATGTTTTGACATGTATAACTGCTTGCTCCCCATCGTATCTGTTGTATAGGACAGAACTATTAGCAGTCTCTGAAAGACAGTCTTCCCAAGAAGGACATGCAGGACGGAGTAATCTCTAAATTTCTATTGTGAAGTGATTCAAGTATGACTGCCAGTGTCATGTGGACAGCAGATAGGACTGTTGATGGAAGGTAATGCAGTCATTCCCATTTTAAATTGGGTGTGACGTCACCCTTTTATCTGGTGTAAGTAAGCTTTTCAAGTATGGATGAATACAGTGGGAGACAAAATGTTCTTAAAACATCTTTCCTCCCATCCTTTTCTTTGCCTTGTTCCCTCTTCTTTTGCTGTTCCTCTTTTCTTTTCCTCTTACTCCTCTCCCTCTTCCCTGCTCTCTTCGCCTCCCAGCAAAAGTTCCTGCTCTGGTTATGAACTAAATCTTATTGACATATCAATAAGCAGAGATAAGAGCTGACTGATAAGAGACACTGCCAGTGTGCTGTGACCATCACTTGTTAGGCCCACCCTATTTTTGCCACTGCTTTTTGTTTTCTGCAGGCTATCTGTATGGGTAAGTTGGCTCTTACACTGCAGTGCTATCATCCTGTAGGTGAATGTTCAAGTTAAGATGTGCACAGTGATCAGCACCAGGGAACCCCAGATGTAAGCTCCACAAGGTACATTACCATAAAAAGTCAGTAACAATTCTTCTTGAACTTCCTTCACTGCTATGCAACTACTAACAAGAAAACAGGAGCCTTCTCTGAGTTTGAACACACAGTATGTTTGTGTGTTTGTGGATTTTCATCCCAAATCAGCCTCAGGATCTTCAGGTCAGAAAATCAATGTCTCTTGTTTTTTTCCCCCTAGTTTTCTCAAAACATTTGACAGGAAAGGAAGTGCAATTCTTTAAAGGACTTAAAGTATAAATATGTTTCGTTGTTTCTATGGTCCAGTGTTTCCTATAACTACTTCTGTGGGAATGCATAGTCTAATCTGTTAACTGATCCAAGGAAATACTGTTTAAGCAGTTGCATTAATTTGTGTTTGCCATTAACATATTTTTTTGTTCACTACCTTTGAACTATGTTCTGTTCTTCTTTCTTCATTTAAATACACTCAGTTCAAGAGTCAATTTGTAGGTACTTTCAGAATTACCATTTAGTAGAAAAATCTGTTGTGGCTTTACAAAATAAAAACATGTTGTTTATACTTGTTTCAAGTAGACCTGTTGTAAGTGTGAAATAAAAAACTACAGTAAGATTTTCTATTGTGATATCTCTGTTAAAAAGTTCGTCTTTGTTTAATGCTTCATAGTGAAGTTACTTCTATTTAAAGCATTGAGTTTGGTCTCGGCTTTGATCTAAAGCTTTTGATCTTGAAAGAAGGATATTGTGGCAGTAAAACAGAAGGCTAGGAGAGATTCTTTTCCAGATGATAAGAGGATACTCTCAAGATTTAATGCACACTTATTGGATCTACCTTTATTTACTTATCTGTTTACAAAGTACATCTAATTCTACATATTGAGGGTTTGCTTACACACATGCTTTAATGTGCCTTATTCTTTTGCTAGAGCACAGATTTCCTTTTAAAGGTTTCAGAGATTATAGCAATATATAGTATGAGTATAAATAATTTTCAAAAGGTTATCAATAATTTTTAAAATACTGACATTTGTAATATCATTTTAACTATAACAAGTATTAGCCACTCTATCCTTCACTGCCTCATGTTTTTAAAATGTAAACAAAAAAGCACTTGATAAAATCCTGATTTAGGATTTATAATTTGGACTTTGCATGGTTGACATAAGTATCTCCCAACATGCTGGAGTTTGAATATCCTCCTCTGAGGGTGCAAGAAAACCTGAAGTCCTATGCCTAAATTTAATTACCTGCTCAAGGTATCTTATTGAATAAATAAAGCCTTTAGCCAAGGCCTCGATAAAGGGCTTGCTGTGGTGCAGTATACCTACAAAGCTGCTTTGGATCTTGCTTTTAACATGCATTTCAGACCCTCCACGGTAGTTTAGTAGTTAGGTTCTGGAGGCGACAGCAAGTACCAAGGCCAACGTTGAAATAGTTAGTGGTGATGATGCTTTCTTGAACTACCTGCACTAGATCATTCCTTTGTCCGTCAAGACCTGTGACAGAGCTTGTTTATAGGAGGGTTCATAGGAAAGCGGCTTCCATAGTAAGGGTCTCGAAGAGAGAGCGTATAGCTGATAATTAGGCTGTAAACCGTGACGAGCATGGATGTTATGGATGTCCGTCCCGTCGGCGACGCTGTTGGAGGGAGCGCGGGTTGGCAACAGCACCGCCAGTGGCCAGGCCGGGTTGGGCCGGGCTGGACCTGGCCGGACCTGGCCGGGCCGGGCTCCGCACCTGCGGGGCGGGGCGAGTGTGGCCGGGCCGGGCCGGGCCGGGCCCGTGGCCGCCCCGCTGGGGTTGTCTCAGCGCGCTGCCCCGGAGCCGGCGGGCCCTGACGTCTTTAAGGCAGGCTCCTCCTCTCCGCGGGGCTCCGGGGGCCGGGGCGCGGGGGCGGGGGACCCTGCGGAGGTGTTTCATTTCCTAGCGAGGGCTGCGGTGTGCCACTGCCGAGCCCGGGAACAGGGCATGGCGTGGGACGGAACGGGACGAGGCGGGAAGGAGCGGGCGCGGCTCCCGGGGCTGGCGGCAGTCGGACCTCGCTTTTCCCCGCCTGCCGCCGCGGGGCCCCGGGAGCGGAGCGCATCGCGGATCCTCCGCGGGCGATCCCGCCTCACCGTGCGCTTTCTCCCCCTTGTAGCCCCTGCTGGAGGAGAGAGAGACGTGGAAGGAGTGTCATCTCGTCCAGCAAGTGAGCAGCGAGGTGAGGAGGAAACCTTTGACAGCTGTTATGTTGCACCCGCTTTTTGCAGATCTGCTCCTGGAGTTTTCAACCTTACACAGCATCCCCACCCTACCACGCTTTTGTTTTAAAAAATAATTGCTTTAGTATTAACAATAAAAATACTAGTATGGGGAAAAAAACCCCATCAAATGTTACTATTTATTAAATAATAACCATGCCATCCAAATTTGGCATTGGTAGTCTGGACCAATATTCGAGTGGGTAGCTGGAAATAAATCTCTTACTTGAAATAGAAGGTGTAAGGGATAAAGCGCAGAGGTTTTCTCCAGGAGTTTTTAACATTGCAATTATAACTTCCCATTTGGCAACGTGGTCTGACATCAAAATGTACTTTGTGCAAAGCCCTTAAACCAAAAGCTCTAAGATGAACATCACCTCACACTTTGATCATGTACAGGTAACAACCAGATTACCTCAGACCACATCACTTTAGAGAGGAAAAGTGCTTTCTTCTTTCCAGTGAACCAATGAAAAAAGTTGTCTCGAGTATCTTTATAGATATTTATTGCTGAGTAACTACAATCAGTTTGCATCTTCTACCTAAAAAGCACCGTGATTTTGAACTCCAGGTCACAAAATGGATTCAGACAAACCGGAGGATCAGAAAAAGCAGTAAAAAGAAAATGAAGCAGGATGAAGTTGTTTTCCAGCAGGTAAGCAATCATGATGTCAGTTTGTGTAATGGGACAAAGGGCGGAAGATCCAAATAGCTTCCTGATTATGCCTTCTTAAGCTTGGTAGAGATGTTACTTAGTGGCTTCAATAAGAAGGTAGCAAACGGATGTTACAAGATAAAGTTTCAGAGACACTATTTAGTTACAGTGGCAAGAAATTAATAACCTTTTTAGATGTCTGTGTTCAGGAGACAGCATTTTCATCTATTTGTATTTAACTGAAACATTCTAAGTAATGTTCTTCTAAGGAAGAGAGAAGGGTGCTTTTCAAGGATGCAGAGAAACAAAGCCCTTGAGAGGTTTTGACAAGACCTGAAGCACTATTTTCAGATACTGGTAGGTGAGAGACAGTTTTCATGGTAGATTTTGGGACAGCAATAGATGTGATGTGCATGTTGAAACAAAATATTTGGACTGTGTTGTTGACTCTTTATTCAGAGGGTGAGTTTGAAAATCATCCATCTGTAGTATAGATTTCAATTAATTAAAATGTGATTATTATTTTAAAAATTACTACAGAGGATTTAAAAACCTGAATACAACCGAATTAAAACTGGTTTTAAATCGGTGAATTTTAATTAATCTATTGCAAAAGACCTGTTCAATAAGTTGACAATTTAAATTACAATGTAGAGAGGTAAGTAGTTAGCTGATACTAAATAGCTGTTTTCTGTGCCTTGAGGGAAAAAAAGGTGAATAAAGATACACTTCCAAATGCATTATTAGAACTGTGGGGTTTTTTGCTTGTCTTGATTTTGAAAACAAATTTATGATTGTATTTAAAAGCTCTTGTAACCTTTAAAGCATTAAAATAGTAGTGTGTTGATTTGGTGTTTCGACAGTGCTTCTAAAATGCATAATGAATCCTTGCTGTTTCTGTAGCCAAATTCTCCTGATAGAATGACTGCCAGCTCCTGCGATATGTTGCCTTAGTATGGGCATTGCAAGTATATGACAAATGTCCACGAAGTGCATTGTTGTGAGTGGATGATTTACCAGCTCCATGATTAGCTAAAAACTGCCAAGTAGCATCCTTTAATTCACGATTAATTCATTTTATTGTGTAACTGGAGTCAATGATTTAGGAAAGATGTTCTGTGGTGTTGTGCTTTAGAATGGTGTGATCTAAATAGATGGAGATAGCATAAATGGTTTCGCCAGGTAATTCCATTTCTCTTTATATTTCTGTATGTCAGTGTGTGTTTGTGTGTATATGTAGCATTTGTATTTACAATCATTTTATGCTAAGACGATGAAGATTTTTTTTAAGATAAAAATTGTATTACCTTGGGAATTTGTGAGCAAAATGCATTGGTGGTACAAATAACACTAGTACAAACCAGACTGCATGCATTTTGAAGCAGTTTTTAAATGGTACATTTCAAAGAGGATAGAGGTAGATCCTCTGTTACACCTGAACAGTAGGTTTAAAAGTGCCTTATGCTGTTATACCAATCCTAATCTCTTTCTATAGGAGAAAGCTTAATTAGTGCAAAATCCCTTTGCACTGATAAAACTCCTTTCCTGTTGCGGATGTTGTTCTCCAAGTGTTCCCCAGTTTGTGAGAGAGAACTTCAGCATGTACTTTGCAGTGAGAGAAATGCAAAACTTGATGTGTAAACTTAAGATAAGATACTCATTGTTTTTTCAAACACTAATTCTAGAGCAAGGTCTGTAAGTAGACATATGAATTAAAATTAAAGGCAAGCATAACCATTGTCTTCTAATATCTGTAAGTATCAATAATTCATGGAGATCCAGTGCAGATTCATAGCACTGCATTTGCAAGGTACTTAATTAACCACATGGTAAGGAGGAGGCGTAACAATAATCTTATATTTGAGAGTAAACCACTGACTATTCACTGAGTTTGGCATTGTTTGCATAGCATAGAAGTTTGGCCATTGCAATAGTGACTTTTCCAATACAGTTACAGGTAAAAGAGTACAGGAGAAAAAGAGTGAGGGACCTCCCTGGTGGTAGCTGAGCTTTATTATTTGGTTTCAGAATTGGATGCACTAAGTTTCCAACCCTGACTTACCACTGCAATTCCTACTCGGTGTAGGTGGTGCTAACCACTCTTCTATGAGAATGATTGATTTTTAGTTGTGTCCGCTTATAGAAGAAATTACATTATACAGAACTTAAAGTAGCTTCAGAGATAAACAAGAAAAAGAGAAAAGCATGTAATGGATAAGTAAGGCAACCTTGAAAATAGCAGAGAAATAGAAATAAGTTCAGTGGGAAGAGGGAGGTGAGAAAGCAAGCGATAATAAACAGAGAAGTCAGAGAGCTGATAGCAGCTCATATTACAACTCTGATTAAAATAAGGATACTGATGTATTTTGCTACACCTTGAAAACTGAGCTTTGCTTTGATCTTGCTTATCCTTTCAAAACAAGCACCAGCTTATTAAATGTGGCTTCTAAACTTTCAAAACAAGCACTAGCTTTTTATATGTTAAGCTTCTGAACTTCCATCTGTGCTGTTGGATTTTCCTCTAGGGTTTCATGTGCCTGTGCTGTCCGATTTTCCTCTGTTGTTTTTCTTCTTTGTGATAGCAAGTCCTATTTCTAATACAAGGTGGATGATTTTGCTATACTGAATCACCACCAAATCAAAGCAACTGGGTCCAGGTACATAATCTAGGAGAGAAAGATAACTGTATGGAATAAGCGAAACAGAATGGTGAAGGAAAGGTTGCTGACAACTGCCTAGGAATTGTTTCTTGAAAAAAGTTGCCTTCTAAACAGTTAAGTCTGTAGGAACTGACTTTACATACATTTATACATATTTATAAAACATTACCATGTGCTGGATAAAGCTATGTGGCTGTAGTGTTAACTATGCTCAAGAGGAACCAGTGGGGACACTTGTATAGAAAGGTGTGGTGCTGCTTTCCAGTGTGGATCCACACGGCAGATTACAGCAGTGGAACAGAATCGATGAGTGAGAGACTTCTGGCCAAATAGCTGTGGGTTCTCATACTTTTGCTCATGTTCTTTATTTAGGATTTTTTTGTTTGTTTTAAAATTTTTTTTTGATTTCTAACCTTTTTGCTGTTCTATCTCTGAAACTGCTGTTCTATCTCTGAAAGTGAAAAAGGTGTTATTTTCTTAACACCTTTTATGATGATTTTTTCTTTCCTACTTCTTTTCCACACCTCATGTCTTTCCCTGTCTTCTTTTGACTCATTTGTTCACCTTTGGTACTGTTCACCCCTTTCTATTTACTTTCAGTCTCTTTATCTGTTTGAAAAAAAATGGAAAAACAAGCTGAAAAATTGCAAAAACAGTTACCTTTTGCTCACCGTGTTTTCTGCTTATAGTTTTCCGTAGCTACTCTTCTTACAATACATGTACATAACATATACATTACAATACATACACAAACTTAAACACATTCACGTTTTTCATTTCTACTTTTGTCCTCCTTTCTATTCTTGTACATTTTTTACTCCTCAATTAATATTATGCTGTCTCTTCATGTTGTCATCTATTTGGTCAGCACATTTAGCAGTCAGTATGTGTATCAATACAGAATGCTGTTTGTGTGTGAAATACAGAGAAGGTGTAACAGAGTTGATAAGAATTACTTGGTTAAAATAAGCAATGTTTTATAATGAAGAGTATGATAGAACTGTTAAATGGTGTTGTGATGATGATGATGTTTGTTTTAATAGTTGACTGTGTCTGCTTGAAAAAAAAGATTCTGCTGTCCTGTCTGTGTTAGGCAGAAGAAAATTATCTAGTCAGACTAGTAGAATTGTGGTGTGTGATCTGTATCTGCTGGGGAGAAACGTCTTTTCATTTGAAGACTAATTATCTTTTACATTACATTCAGAGTCAAAACATAAAAGCTGATTTGATCATATTTCAGTAGTATAAAAAATGTCACCAGATGAGGTAACAAAGATACACAGGATTTAGGAAAACACTTATATAGTCGCACTAGATAAGGAACATATTTCCTGCATATGATCAAAATTGCATGTGACTGTTTCAGTTTTAATTTGATTGTATATTGAAACTTCGGGGAGTGATTCAACTTTTCTAGAATAATTTCTGCTGCTTTCTCAGAAATACTCTTTTCTTGTGTTTAAAGTTTGTCTGCTAGTTTTACTAGCTGTATGACTTCAACTTTTTTTCCTATTGGTTGTTGCTATTGATCCTTTGTGTCACTCCAGAGACTTATAGTTGTCAATATTTAAGCTATCTTAATAACCTGAGCATAAATGACTTTGTTGATACTGCTTTTAAGTTTCTAATAAAAAATAAAAAACCCAAATCAGTTCTGGTATATATGACTGATGCTAAATGCTGTCTTTCTCCTTTAATAATGAATTCACCAGCACAAGTGAAACACAAGAAATTATCTTTATCTAAAATTATTTAAAATTATTAATTATTACCTAAATATTTATCTAATTATCTAAAATGAGTTGTCTTGTTATACTGCAAGTAGAAAATATTTCAAAGTCTCATAAGAAATACTGATAAAAAAATACCATGTGGTATAAAAGAGCTCTCAGTTAACTAGAAAATTTATTCAAGATCGTGTGTTTCTGCTAATTCAGGTAACTACTATTAACATACAATGCATAAAAATAACATTAAATCATTAATTGGCATGTATTTTTTGTTTGTCAAAATGAGTATTTTTATTTGAATCTACCAAACTAGGGATCAAAGCAAGGATCAAATCTGAAACAGTCTGGTGAGCTTGTGCACTGCTTAACAGCTAAGAGAAACATAGTTAAAAATCCTAAATTGTTATTCAGTGATGCTTCAGTGGTGTTATTTGCTGTACCAACTTCTGTTAATTTCACAGAACTTTCTAGCAACCCTGTAAACTGGCCTTCGCTGATTACAGAAAACATTTAATTCCTTTCTCATTCAGACATTTGAATGGAAAATTTTTCCCAGCTCATATACAAGATCTGATTTGCATTAAATGTTGTTAAGCTGTCTGGGAAATAG